CCCGCCGCCGCCGCCGCCGCCCCCCCAGGACTTGAGCGGGTGCTCGGAGCAGAGGGGGGGTCCCGCGGCCCCCGACGGCTGCGCCAAGGAGCCCCCTAAGACTCAGCAGCCCCCGCCGCCGCCGCCGCTGCCGCCGTCGCCGCCCTACAAACACCGAGGGGAGCCCGAGCACAAAGACTCTGCCTCCTCTTCCTCCACCTCCTCCACTTCCTCCTCTTCATCATCCTCCTCCTCCTCCTCCTCGTCGTCCTCGTCGGCGCCGCCGCCGCCCCCGCCCCCCCCCAGCGTGGCCGTGCCGCGGCCCCCGGCCCGCGAGGAGCCGGTGGACACGCGGACGCCTGTGCCCGAGCGGGTCAGCTGACTGTGAGCCGCTGCGGCGGGGGAACGCACGCACGGACCGACGGACGGACGGACACACGGACGGGCCCCCCTCCCCGCCCTACCCTCGCCCCCCCTTCACGAGGCAGTGGGGACCCCCCTCCCCAACGAAAATCCCCCCCCCCCTTCCCTCCCACCGTGGGTTGGGTTCTCCTCCCCTCCTCCGTGTCCCCCCCACCCGAGTTTTTATTACCGACAAGCACAGCGAGGGACCCCCCACCCATGGACCCCCCCACTTTGCACTTTTTGAGGATGGGGGGGATCTCCAGGGCCCCCCCTCCCCCACCCAGAGGTTGGGCGGGGTTTGGGGGGGGAGGAGGTTGTTTTGGGGGGGGCGGGGCCGCGTCTTCCCCCCACCCCCGGCGCCGCTTTTCTCGTTCTTCCAGTTCCGTTTTCCGCCCGTGGGAACCATTTGCACTATGGGGGAGGGGAAGGGGCGGGGCCGGGATCCGGCCGGCGGCCAATGGGGAGCGGTGCTGCTGAAGATGGGCGGGGCTGAGGCCGAGGTTACGGCCAATCAGGGGCAGGGATCCAGCGTGGAGCCAATCAGGAGAAGGGGGTGCGGTGTCAGGGGGCGGGGTCTGGTGCGGAGCCAATCAGGAGGAGCGGTGGGTTCAGCCAGGATGTGGGGCTGAGCCAATCGGGAGCGGAGCTGGGCAGGGGTGGGATCAAGTGTGGAGCCAATCAGGAGCGACTGAGGAGGAGGGGTCTGGTGTTGAGCCAATCAGGTGTGACTTTATTGGGGGTCGGATTTAGAGCCAATCAGCAGCTACCGGTCTGTGTGGGATCCAGTGTCTGGAGCCAATCAAGAGGGGCGGGATCAGGAGGGGGCGGGGCCTGGGCTTTGGCCAATGGGGGCTGCTCTGTGTGAGGAGGATGTGGTGTGGAGCCAATCAGGAGGGGCAGGATCAGGCCTGGAGCCAATCAGAAGCAGCCTTGGGTTCGGCTGGGATCCAGTGTTTGGCCAATGAGGAGCCGTGATCCAAACGGGGGTGGGGATGATTCCAGATCCCCTCGACAGAGGCGTGGTCAAGTCAAGAGCCAATCAGGGACCGGGTAGAGTCGGCGCCGTCCAATCAGGGCTGAGATCCTGTGGGGGCGGGGCCAGATCCAGTCCCAGGAGTGACTCTGGGCGGGGGTGGGGCCTGGCCAGGATCCAATCAGGAGTGGTTTGGATTGGAGGGGCGGGTCCCGCCCCCGCCCAATGGGGTTGCTCTGCTCTGGAGGGGGGGATCTAATCGCGGCCAATCAGGAGAGGCTGCGGGCATGGTGGGAGCCAGTCAGGAGCGAGAGGATGATCCGGTCCAGAGCCAATCAGGAGTCAGAATGAGCGGAGCAGGGATCTAGTCTGGAGCCAATCGAAATTGAGGGTGTGATCTGGTCAGGAGCTAATCAGTGGAAAGAGTGCGATCTGGTACGGAGCCAATCATAATCAAGCTGGGCAGGGCTGGGATCTGGTCCAGAGCCTGTCAGAATCGAGCATGGGTGGAGCTTGGATCCGGTCCTGAGCCAATCAGAAACGAGGGCCAGGATCTGATTGGGAACCAATCAAGAGTGATCTGGGCAGGGCCGGGATCTGGTCCCGAGCCAATCAGGAGCGAGCACGGGGCGATCGATCCATTTCACATGGGGGGGTTGGGTCTCATCCTGCCCCTCCCCCACCTGCCCCCCCAGTCCCATCTTGGGGTGGGGGAGGGGTCCCCATCCTGCACTTTACCCACTCTGGGGGGGGAGGGGTCGGGGCCACGCCCCCTTTGTGCCCCCCCCCCGTTCTTCCATCGCCCCCCCCCGGGGGTCCCCACCCCCCCCGGCTCCTCACGGCAATAACGGGGGGGGGGGGGGGGGGGGGGAGGGGCGGCCAGAGAGAGCAAACCCCAAAAATGGGGAGGGGCCCATGTGGGGGAGGGGTCCCCGGGGAGGGGGGGGGGGCACAGCCACCACCGTTGGGGGGGGGGTAATTTTGGGGGGCCCCCCCTCCCCCCACCTATTTATTCTCTCGAGACGTTTTTGCCTTATAAAGTTCCGGAAAAGCCCCTCGGTGTCGGTTGTTTTTGGGGAGGGGGGGTCCCCACGGCGCCGCCCCCCCCCTCCAGGCCCCCCCCCCATTTAAAGCCCCCCCAAATTCTCCCCCCCCACCCCCCGGGTCTGTGTCTGTGCTGCTGCTGCTGCTGCTGCGCGTGATCCAGCGATTATAAATCTGTGTAACCCTCACTCAGCCGCCTCCGCCGCTTCTTTGGCTCTGCGCACGGATCCCCCCAAAATCACCCCCCAAAGATTCCCACAAAATCCCCCCCAAAAAAATCCCCCTCAAAATCCTCCTAATATCCCCCCCAGTTCCCCCAAAAATTTCCCCCAAATCCTCCTAAAATCCTCCACAGGTACCCCAAGAATCTTCCTAAAATCCCTCACAGATTCCCCCAAAAATCCTCTCCAGATTCCCCCTAAAATCTCCCCCAGATTCCCAAAAAAATCCCCCTAAAACTCCCACCTGGTTCCCCTGAAAAACGCCCCAAATCACCCCCAGATTCCCACAAAATTCCCCCCAAAAAAAAAACCCTCAAAATCCTCCTAATATGCCCCCCAGATCTCCCCTCAAAAATTTCCCTCAAATCCTCCTAAGATCCTCCACAGATCCTCTAAAAATCTTCCTAAAATCCCGCCCTGATTCCCCCAAAAATCCTCTCGAGATTCCCCCTAAAATTCCACCAAAATCCTCCCCAGATTCCAAAAAAATCCCCCTAAAAATCCCAACTGGTTCCCCTAAAAATCACCCCCAAAATCCCCACCAGATTCCCCCAAAAATCTCCCCGAAAATCCTCTCCAGATCCCCACCAAAATCTCCCCAAAAATCCCCCCAGATTTCCCCAATAATTTCCCCCCAAATGCCCCTGGAATCTGCCGAAGTTTCCCCCAAAATCCTCCTGGATTCTCCCAGAATTTCCCCCAAAATTTCCCCCAGATCCCCCCAAAATCTTCCCAGATTCCTCCAAAATCCCCCCAAATCCCCCAACCCACAGAGGGGGAAGGGATTGGGTCACTCCAAGGGGGTCCCAGATCCCCCCAAGGCAGTTCTGGTTTTGGCGTCTTTCCAGGTGGATTTGGGGTCCCCAGGTGCTGATTTTGGGGTCCCCAGATGGATTTAGGGTCCCCAGGTGCTTTTTGGCCTTGCAGGTGTTGATTTTGGGCTCTCCCCAGGTAACTTTGTGTCCACCCAGGTGTATTCGGAACCCCCCAGGTGAGGTTTAGGATCCCTGGGTGCTGATTTTGGGTTCCTACTGGTGCATTTGGGACCCTCCCAGGTGGGTTTGGAACCCCCCCAGGTGAATTTGGGTCACCCCAGGTGAGTTTGGATCCATCCAGGTGGATCTGAGACCCCCCGATGACTTTTGGGGTCCCCAGGTGCTGATTTGGGGTCCCTGAGGGGGTTTGTGGCCCCCATGTGGGGTCAGGAGGGTGATCTGGGATCTCCCCATAGATCACCTGGATGATTCCCTCCAGTGACATCACTGGATTCCCTCAGATGATGTCACTGACCCCCCCCCATAGGACCTCGCCTGCTCCCAGGTGTTCCCCCTGCCCTTTCCCCCCTCCCCCAGCCCTCAAGAGTGCCCTAGTAGCTGTGACGTCACACCACGATGCGATTCGCGCTTACGACGTCATAACCCCGATGACGTCATCGCGGGGTAAAGGCGGGAAGAGCGCTCAGGCCCCGCCCCTTTTCCCGCCTTTGCGCGCGGTTCTGCCACACTCAAAATGGCGCCGTTGCCGTGGTAACCGCGGAGGGCGGAGCTTCTGCCACACAAAAAATGGCGGCGCCCGCCGGAGGCGAGGCCTGGGCGGGGTTTCCTTGATGGAGGAGGCGGGACTGGGACGGACTGGGATAAACTGGGAGGGACTGGGACAAACTGGGACCTCCAGCATTCCCCCCAAAAAGGCTCTGGCCCCCCCCCGAAGTTGCCGGCGGCACCCCCCAGGCTCATTTCTGCCCTGGGTGCTCAAGCAAATCCCCCCCCAACAAACCCCAAAATACTGAATCCTCTGCCCGGACCCTCAGGGGAGGATCCATGTCACACCTGAGGATTTATTGTCACATCTGGGGGTGTATTGTAACATCTGGGCGTTCATTGTCACACCTGAGGGTTTATTGTCACACCTGGGGCTGTTTCACACCTGAGGCTGAGGGGGGACACCCCAAAACTCCCTAAATCTTCCCCCAAAACCTCCCCGAACCCTGCAACTGTCTTCCCAAGCTCCTTGCTGAGGAACCCCTCACCCTCCTCCTCTCCTCTCTCCACCCTCCCTGGAGCATTTTGGGGTCCCGGAAGGGCAAAACTGGTGCGAAAAGCGCCAAATTCGGGTGTTTGAACAAAAATCCGTCGAGAAAGGCGGGAAAAGCGACTGCGCAAGAAGGAGGTGGAGCCGCGCATGCGCCATTACGACCCGCGCCGTCACGCACGCGCAGTGAGCACCGTAGCCGTTAAGCGCCACCATCCGGGAACTGGCGGACGCCATCTTTGTGGCGGGTGGAGGAGACGCGTCCAAAATGGCGGCTCCCAAGCGCCAGTAGCCGGCGCGGCGAGCGGGCCTTTCTCGGCTTTCAGCGCGGCGGCGGCGGCTCGGATCGAGCGGCGGCGGCGGCGGCAAGCGGCGCCCGGGGTCAGCGGGCGGCGGGTGGCTGCAGGTGTGGAGTGGCGGCGGAGCGGCGCGGAGAGCGGCGCATCCGGGTCCCGCGGCCGCCGCCATCTTGGGCCGCCGCGGAGCTGCAAGCTCCCACCCGCGCCATCTTGGGGCGCCGCATCGGGGCTGTTCCGGAGGGGGGACGAGCGGAGGGGGTGGCGGGGCTTGAACGAAAAGCGCGGGGAGCGCTCAAAACTCCGCTCCCGTCCCGGGCAGGCGCCGCCATCTTGTGCGCGCGGCAAGGAGGAGGAAGAGGAGGAGGACAAGGAGGAAGATCCGGGCACCGGGCGGCGCCATCTTGGACCCCCCCTTCCCACAGCAGCACGCCGCCATCTTGTGACCCCTTCCCCGCGCACCCGGGCACCGGCCGCTCCGCCGCCTTGGAGCCGCTGCGGTAGCGCAGCCGCACCCGGTAAGGCCGGAATGAAGCGGGGAGCTTGGGGAGGGGGGATAGGGACCGCGGGATCCCCGTGGGGGCCGACAGCGGGCATCAGTTCGGCCGGATGGGCGGCGCCATCTTGGGAGGGGACGTGCGGGATGTCATGGCGGCGCCGTGCGCCGACATCCGGGTCCTTCCCCCCCACCGCCCCCGGGGCGCCATCCTGGGAGGGGCCGCCGCATCCGGGTCCCGCGTGCCGCCATCTTGAGAGTCCGGGGGGGGGGGGGGGGGGAGCGCGGGGGGCGACGGCAGCGCGGGGGATCCCCAGCCCGTTTGCGTCACTCGGAGCCGCAGGGTCGTGAGGCCTCAGAGCGGCTCCGGCGTCCCGTTAACCCCAGGGGGCGGTGGGGACAGCGGGCGCTCCCCGGGACAGAGGAAGAGGAGGAGGAGGAGGGTGCGCGGTTTGCAGAGGGGGCGGCACCCAAGGAGAGGCAGGGCGCCCAAGATGGCGGCGCCCATGGCGGGCTGAGCGCTCCGTACAGTGCTGCGCCGCCGCGAAACGGGCCGTGCCGCCGGCAGCCAGACCGTGGGGATTCGGTGTGTGTGGGGGAACGAGGCCGGGAATGCCGGGGAGCGATTACGGGGCGGCGGGAAGGCCGGGAGGGGGCGGCACCGGAGATGGCGGGACTCGGGGGGGAGAAGGAGGGAAAACCGCGCAAAAAGCGGGCTTGGGGGGCGGCTCCTTTAAGAGGCGGTTGGAGTGGGCGTGGCCACGCCTTTCCGTGACCACACCCCCTCCTTGGCGCCATGGCCGCGCCCCTTCAGGCGGCTCCGTACAAGTCCCCTCCGCGCCCCTCTGCCGCTCGCCCCAGCCCCGCCGCTACCGAGCCGGGCCTGGACGCCACCGAGATGTCGGTGAACCTCTTCCCGGTCCCCCTCCCAAAATGCCGCCGCCTTTTCCCGTCCCGCGATCCCCACAATGTCGCCCCCCCGTCCCCGGCCAAGATGGCGCCGCCCGGGTCCTGAGGGGGCGTGTCCGCGCTGGCCCCGCCCCCTCCCGTCGCTTCCCGCCCACCCTCGGCGGCCGCCGGACACAGGCGCAAGATGGCGGCTCCCAGGGCGGCGTGAGGGGCCGCCGTTGCCGCGCTCCGCCTGCAGCCGCAGCCCCAAGCCGGGAGCCGCTGCAGCCGCGCGACCCCCGGAACCGCTGCCGGGAATCGGGAGCGGCCGCGGGCTGGGAGAGGGAGGCGGCCGCGGGGCCGCGGTGAGCGGGGGGGGCGGCGGTGGGGGGGAGGAGGCGGCCGCCATTTTCCGCCCGGGCAGAGACAAGATGGCGGCGCGCAGGGGCCTGAGGAGGGGGGAGGGGGCGTGAGGGGAGGGGCAGGGCTGGGGGGGAATTGGGCATTTTGGGGGGGGGGACACAGCCTGAGGGGAATTTGGGGAGGGGGAGATGAACTTGAGGGGGGGCACGGCTTGAGGGGGGAATTTGGGAGGAGGGAGTTGAACTTGATGGGGGGGGGCACTGTGTGAGGGGGGAATTTGGGAAGGGGGAGTTGAACTTGGGGGGGGGCACGGCCTGAGGGGGAAATTTGGGGAGAGGGGTGCTGGGCACAGTCTGAGGGGATAATTTGGGGGGAGGGGGGCGGCCTGAGGGGATTTTGGTGGGGGGAGGAGATGAAGATAAAGGGAGGCAAATTGGGGGGGGGGCAGTTTGGGTAGTGGGGGGGTGGGTCATGGTGTTAGGAGTGGTAATTAAGAGGAGACATAATGAAGAAAGTAATTAACGGGGAGAAATAAATGCTCCCCTCCCCCTCAAGGTGGACTCCTCCCCCATTGTCACACCCCTGCTGTGGGGGGGTAATTAACTCTTTCGGGGTAATTGCGGTGGGGGGGGCAATTTAAGATTTTATGCGGATTTGAGGGAGGCGGGCGTGTCAAGCCCCTGGGGTATTTCGGGGGGGGGGAGGGTGTCCCTGGAGAATTTGGGGGGGAGGGGGCAGAAGGGCATCGACCCCCAGATTTGGGGACACCATTCCATAAGAGAATGTAATGAGGGGCGGTCCCTATGCCCAAACATCCATCTGAGGGGGGTGTTTGGGGGTGTTCCCCCACATCCAAACCCCCTTGATCCTTGAGAAGGATCAATTGAGGGGGGAGAGGGTCTCAGGTCATTGGTATGGTTTTTGGGGTGTCCTCCATATCCAATCTCCCCCCCGAAAGGACAGGCAAAGGGGGGAGGTCAGGCCATTGGGTGGGGGAGGGGGGGGTTTGGGGTCTTTTCTATTTCTGTCCCCTCCCACCCAGAACAGCCAGTGGGGGGGGGGGTGGTGCCAGATTATTTTGGTGATTTTTAGGGTGTCAGGTAGTTTTGATGATTTTTGGGGTACCATTCATACCTAACCGCCCTGTGTCCCCCCAGGACAGGCAGTGGGGAGGGGCGGGGGTACTGTCAGTGGGGGCGTTGCCAATTTTGGTGATTTTTGGGGTGTCAAGTAATTTTTGGGTATCCCCCATGTCTGTCCCCTCCGTGTCCTCCCAGGACAGGCAGCGGGGGCGGTGCCAGTTAATTTTGGTGGTTTTTGGGGTGTCCCCCATAGCTGACCCCCAGTGTCTCCCCAGGACAGGCAGCAGGGGACACATGGCAGGCCTGGGCGGGGGGGGTCAGTTCATTTTGATGTTTTTTGGGGTCTCAGTTGATTTTTGGGGTATCCCCCATACCTGACCCCCCCTGTGTCCCCCCAGGACAGGCACTGGGAAGGGTCCCAGTTAATTTTGGTGGTTTTTGGGGTGTCCCCCATAGCTGACCCCCACCATGTCCCCCCAGGACAGGCAGCGGGGGACGCATGGCAGGCCTGGGCGGGGGGGGGTCCCCGCCGCGGGCCCCCCCGGGCCCCCCCGCGCTGCAGCCGCGCTGGAAGCGGGTGGTGGGCTGGGCTGGGCCCGTGCCCCGGCCCCGGCACGGACACCGCGCCGTGGCCATCAAGGAGCTCATCGTGGTCTTTGGAGGGGGCAACGAGGGCATCGTGACGAGCTGCACGTCTACAACACAGGTGGGCACCTGGGGGGGCACCTGGGCACATGGGGGGTCTCCAGAGGGGTGGCATTGGGGAGGAGCTGCACGTCTACAACACAGGTGGGCACCTGGGGGGTACAGGGGGTCCCCATAGGGGTGGCACTGGGCAGGAGCTGTTGGTGTTCAGTACAGGTGGGCACCTGGGGGTATGGGGAGGTCCCCACAGGGAGAGGATTGGGGATACAGTGGATGTGTATGACACAGGTGGGCACCTGGGGGTGTGGGGGTCCCCAGAGGGAGGAGATTGGGGACAAAGTGCAGATGTACAGCGCATGTGGGCACCTGGGGGCGTGGGGGGGTCCCCAGAGGGGTGGGACTGGGGAGGAGCTGCAGTTGTACAGCACAGGTGGGCACCTGGGGGGCACCTGGCGCATGGGGGGGTTCCTACAGTGGTGGCATTGGGGATGAACTGCACGTCTACAACACAGAGGGGCATCTGGAGATGTGGGTAGGTCCCTACACAGGGGTGGCATTGGGGAGGACCTGCAGGTGTGCAACACAGGTGGGCACCTGGGGGGGCACCTGGGGAGTACAGGGGGTCCGCAGAGGGAGGGGATTGGGACAAAGTGCACATTTACAACACAGGTGGGCACCTGGGGGCTTACAGGGGGTCCCCAGAGGGATGGGATGGAGGAGGAGGTGCAGTTGTACAGCACAGGTGGGCACCTGGGGGGGGGGTCAGTGGGGGGTTCCCGGCTGCTGTGGTGGCACTGGGGACAAAGTGCAGGTGCACAACACTGGTGGGCACCTAGGTGCCACCTCGGGGCATGGGGGGCTGCCCACAGGGATGGCATTGGGGATGAACTGCAGGTGTACAGCACAGGTGGGCACCTGGGGGTACAGGAAGAGTAGGGATGGGATTAGGGCTCATTCCTAGTGTCCCCTTTGTGTCCCTGTCCCTTGTGTGTCCCCAAAGCCACCAACCAGTGGTTCATCCTGGGGGTTCGGGGGACTGTTCTCACTGTCCCTGTCCCCTCAGTGTCCCCACAGCCACCAACCAGTGGTTCATCCTGGGGGTTCAGGGGACTGTTCTCACTGTCCCCCCGTGTTCTTGTCCCCCTTTTGTCCCCTCTGCGTCCCCACAGCCACCAACCAGTGGTTCATCCCGGCCGTGCGCGGGGACATCCCCCGGGCTGTGCCGCCTACGGCTTCGTGTGTGACGGCACGCGGCTGCTGGTGTTCGGGGGCATGGTGGAGTACGGCAAGTACAGCAACGACCTCTACGAGCTGCAGGTACCCCCACAGCGCCTGGGGAACCCCCCTGAGCCCCTTGGGAACCCCCTATAGCACCTGGGGAGCACCTGGGAACCCCCCATAGCCCCTTGGGAACCCCCCTGAGCCCCTTGGGAACCCCTCTGAGCCCCTTGGGAACCCCTCTGAGCACCTGGGGAGCACCTGGGGAACCCCCCATAGCCCCTTGGGAACCCCCCTGAGCCCCTTGGGAACCCCTCTGAGCCCCTTGGGAACCCCCCATAGCACCTGGGGAACCCCTCTGAGCACCTGGGGAGCACCTGGGGAACCCCCCATAGCCCCTTGGGAACCCCCCATAGCCCCTTGGGAACCCCCCTGAGCCCCTTGGGAACCCATCTGAGCACCTGGGGAACTCCTTAGGGCCTCCATGAGCACCTGGGGAATCCCCCCATAGCACCTGGGGAACCCCTCTGAGCACCTGGGGAACTCCCCGAGTCCCTTGGGAACCCCCCTGAGCACCTGGGGAACCCCATGGGGGACCCCCCCCCCCTTGAGACCCTTGGGGACCCCCCTGAGCACCTGGGGAGGACCTGGGGAACCTCTGAGCATGTGGGGAACGCCCCCTTGGAAACCCCCTTGAGCATGTGGGGAGCACCTGGGGAACACCCTGGGAACCCCCCTGAGCACCTGGAGAATCCCCCCTAACCATGAGTGATCCCCTGGGACCCCCACCCAAATACCCTGGAATCCTCCCCAGACTCCCCAGAGCACTCTCCAAACACCGGGGGACCCCCCCTGGGACCACCCCAAAACATTCTAGAACCCCCCCCAAACCATGGGTGACCTCCTGAGACCCTCCCAAAAACTGTGGGACCCCTCAGGACCCCCCCCCCAAACACCTGAGGACCCCTTGGGAGCCCCCCAAAACATTCCAGAGCTCCTCCAAACCGTGGGTGACCCCCTGGGACCCTCCCAAAAGCTGTGGGACCCCCTCAGGACCCCACCCCAGACACTTGGGGACCCCCTGGAAGCCCCCCCCCCCCAAACATCCTGGGACCCCCCCCCCCCAAAAACACCTGGGGACCTCCTGGGACCCTCCCAAACACCTGGGACCCCCCACAGGACCCCTGAACCCCCCAATTTTGGGGTCCCCCTTCCCCCTGGGTGCTCCTCCAATTGCAGACCCCTCCCCAAATCCCACATCTCCCCCCCCCATTCCAGGCCTCCAGGTGGGAGTGGAAGCGGCTGAAGGCGAAGACCCCCAAAAATGGGCCCCCCCCTTGTCCCCGGCTGGGCCACAGCTTCTCCCTGGTGGGCAACAAGTGTTACCTGTTCGGGGGGCTGGCCAACGACAGCGAGGACCCCAAAAACAACATCCCCCGGTAAGGGGCACCCCAAAACCTCAGAGCACCCCAAAACCCTGGAGGAACCCCAAAAACCCCGGGAATCTGTGAGGGGGGGGGGCTTGGGGCTGGTTTGGGGGGTGTGGGGGTGAGATTGAAACTGGGGTTGTTTTTAGGGGGCATCCCAAAACCTCAGGGCGCCCCAAAATTTCAGGGTCACCCCAAAAATCTTGGGGATAACTGGAGGGCTTGGGCCTGGTTTGGGGGGTGTGGGGGTGAGGCTGAAACATTTGGGGTTGTTTATAGGGGGCACCCCAAAATCTTAGGGTACCCCAAAACCATGGGGACACCCCAAAAATCTTGGGGATAACTGGAGGGGGCTTGGGTCTGGTTTGGGGGCACACAGGGATTTTTGGGGGGCATGGGGGTGAGCCTGAAACATTGGGGTCATTTTTCGGGGGGCACAGGGACCCTTGGGGGGCCCTACAGGTGATCCCAAAACCCTGGGAGTTACTGGGAAGGCAGGGGGACACCCCAAAACCCCAAGAATAGGGTTGAGATGGGGGACTTGGGGACATCTGGGGGGCACAGGAGTGACCCCAAAACTTTTGGGTCATTTTTGGGGCAACACAGGGATCCCTGGCAGGGGCACAGGTGACGCTGGCACCATTCTGAGTCAATTTTAGGAGATTTGAGAACCCTTTTAGGGTTATCTTGTGTCCATAAATATCCTTTTAGGGTCCCATGTCCCCCAACACCCTTTTAGGACAATTCCTACATATCCAAACACCCTTTTAGGATTTTTTTTTGGGATCTCCTGACCTTCTCAACCCCCTCTCCACACACCTAAACCACCTGCACACGTGGGCACAGGTGTTTTTGGGACCCTGGGCACATTTTATGGGATTTAGGGGCCTTTTAGGGCAATCCCACATATCCAACCACCCTTTTAGGGTTTTCTTGGGGTTTTCTGACTTTCTGAACCGCCTGCACACATGGGCACAGGTATTTTTGGGACCACCCTGGGTGCATTTTATGGCATTTAAGGCACCTTTTGGTGCAATCCCATATCCCCAGCCTCCCTTTTGGGACAGTCCCACATATCCAAACACTCTTTTAGGATTTTTTTTTTTTGGGATCTCTTGACCTTCTCAACCCCCTCTCCACCCACCTGAACCACCTGCACACGTGGGCACAGGTGTTTTTGGGACCACCCTGGCTGCGTTTTATGGGATTTAAACGACCTTTTATGGCAATCCCATATCCCCAAACACCCTTTTAGGGTTTTTTTGGGGTCTACTGACCTTCTCAACCCCCTCCCCACACACCTGCACCGCCTGCGCACATGGGCACAGGTGTCTTTGGGACCACCCTGGCTGCGTTTTATGGGATTTAAGGCACCTTTTAGGGCAATCTCATATCCCCAGCCTCCCTTTTAGGGCAGCCCCACATATCCAACCACCCTTTTAGGGTTTTTTTGGGATCCCCAGACCTTCTTAATCCCTTCCCCAGGTACCTGAACACCTGCACATGTGGGCACAGGGGTCTTTGGGGCCACTTTGAGTACATTTAATGGGATTTAAGGCGCCTTTTAGGGGTGTCCCATATTCCTAGCCATCCTTTTGGGGGTGTTCTATATCCCCAGCACTCTTTTAGAGTAGTCCCACATATCCAACCACCCCTTTTAGGGTTTTTTTGGGGTCTCCTGACTTTCTGAACCACCTGCACACGTGGGCAGAGGTGTTTTTGGGACCACCCTGGCTGCATTTGTGGGATATAAGAGACTTTTCAGGGCAACCCCATATTTCTGACCACCCTTTTAGGGCAGTCCCACATATCCAAGCACCCTTTTAGGGTGTTTTTGGGGTCTTCTGACCTTCTCAACCCTCTCCCCACACACCTGAACCACCTGCGCGCATGGGCAAAGGTGTTTTTGGGACCACCCTGGCTGCATTTGTGGGATATAAGGGACATTTTAGGGCCATCCCGTATTCCTGACCATCATTTTTAGGGTACTCCCGCATATCCAACCACCCTTTTAGGGCTTTTTATAGGATCTGCTGACCCCATACCCCTTTCCCCAGGTACCTGAACGACCTGTACGTGCTGGAGCTGCGCCCGGGCTCGGGGGTGCTGGCCTGGGACATCCCCATCACTTACGGGGTGCTGCCCCCTCCCCGGGAATCCCACACGGCCGTGGTGTACACGGAGCGCGACGGGCGGCGCTCGCGCCTCGTCATCTACGGGGGCATGAGCGGCTGCAGGCTGGGGGACCTGTGGACGTTGGATATTGGTACGGGGGATTTGGGGGGTTTTAGGGGGTGTTTGTGGGGTTTGGAGGGGGTTTTATGGGGTTTGGAGGGGTTTTGGGGTCAGGGGAATGGGCGTTACTGGGGAATGTTGGTGTCTACGGGGGCATGAGCTGCTGCAGGCTGGGGGATTTTTGGACGTTGGATATTGGTACGGGGGATTTGGGGGGTTTTATGGGGTGTTTGTGGGGTTTGGAGGGGTTTTATGGGGTTTGGAGGGGTTTTTGTGGTGTTTGGAGAGGTTTTGGGGTCAGGGGAATGGGGATTAGTGGGGGACAGTGTCATCTATGGGGGCATGAGCGGCTGCAGGCTGGGGGATTTATGGACGTTGGATATTGGTACGGGGGATTTGGGGGGTTTTATGGGGTTTTTGTGGTGTTTGGAGGGGGTTTTGGTGGGGGTTTGGGGGGGTTTTGGGGTCAGGGAAGCGAGGGGTAATGAGGGACATTGGGAGACGTTGGCATTTATGGCAGAGGGCATGAGAGGCTGTAGGCTGGGGGACCTGTGGACATTGGATATTGGTACGGGGGATTTGGGGGGTTTTATGAGGGATTTATGGGGTTTTTGTGAGGTTTAGAGGGGTTTTACGGGGGTTTGGAGGGGGTTTGGGGTCAGGGGAATGAAGGGTGGTGAGGGACATTGGGAGATGTTGACATCTCTGGGGGCATGAGCGGCTGCAGGCTGGGGATTTATGGACATTGGATATTGGCATGGGGGGTTTTGGGGTTTTTATGGGGTTTTTAATGGGTTTTGGAGGGTTTTGTGGGGTTTGGAGGGGTTTTGGAGTTAGGGGAGTGAGGGATTTCTGGGAGACGTTGGCATCTACGGGGGCATGAGCGGCTGCAAGCTGGGGGAACTGGATATTGGTATGGAGAGTTTTGTGGGATTTTTAAGGTATTTGGGGGGTTTTTGGGGGTTTTTAAGGGATTTGGGGTCCGGGTAATGGAGGATATTGAGGGACGTTGGGGGATGTTGGCGTCTACGGGGGCATGAGCGGCTGTTTTCTTATATTTTCAGTAGTTTTGGGGCCGTTCCTTCGCATTTTGGGGTTGTTTCTTCCCATTTTGAGTTAATTTCTTCACAACCTGAGGGACTTTGGGGCTGTTTTCCCACATTTTGGGTGGTTTTGGGGCCATTTCCTCACATTTTGGGGCCATTTCCTCACATTTTTGGGGTTTCCAGAGACGCTGACCTGGAACAAGCCGAGCCTGAGCGGGGTCGCTCCCCTGCCCCGCAGCCTCCACTCAGCCACCACCATCGGCAACAAGTGAGTCTGGGGGTGACCCCCCTCCAAAAAAAAACCCCCAAATCACCCCCCTGACCCCCCCTTTATCCTGGGGGGGTCCCTTTGTGTCTCTGTCCTCTTCCTGGGAGGGGTTGAGGTCATTAGGGGGGGGATGTTTTGTTTTAATTTAATTTTTTAATTGATATGGGCAATTTCGTGACCCCCCCCCAAAGATGAAAATTTTGGAGGTGGGGGTCTCTGGGTGTCCCCCTGACTCTCTTCCCCCCCCCAGGATGTACGTTTTTGGGGGGTGGGTGCCCCTGGTGATGGATGACGTGAAGGTGGCGACGCACGAGAAGGAGTGGAAGTGCACCAACACCCTGGCCTGCCTGAACCTGGGTGAGGAGGGGGCTTGGGACCCCCAGAACTGACCCCAAATCCACCCTAAAACCCCACAAACCCACCCTGAAACACCCCAAACCTCAGCCAAGGTGAGGAGGGGGCTTGGGACCCCCAAAACCCACCCCAGATCTGTTCTGGGACCCCCAAAACTGTCCCCAGATCCACACCTCCCAAATCCTCTCCAAATCCTCCCCAAATTCATCTCTGAGCCCACCAAACCCTTCCTCAATCCCCCCCAAACCCCTCTGTGACCCCCCCAAACCCCTCCCTGAGCCCCCCAAATTCCTCCAGACCCCTGGGTGCCCCCCCCAGCCTCGATGGCCTGGGAGCCACTGGTGCTGGAGCCCCTTGAGGAACCCCCAGACCCCTCCCCAAACCTGTCTGTGACCCCAAAACCTCTGCCTAAATCCCCCCAAATCCCTTCCTGACACCCCCAGACCCCTGTGTGACCCCCCCCAAACCCTTCTGTGCCCCCCAGACTCAATGGCCTGGGCACCCCTGGTGCTGGAGACCCTGGAGGAACCCCCAGACCCCTCCCCAAACCCCTGCGTGACCCCCAAACCCCTCTGTGGCACCTTCAAACCCCCCCAGACCCCTCTCTGACACCCCCAAACCCATCTGTGACCCCTGTGTGCCCCCCCAGACTCGATGGCCTGGGCACCCCTGGTGCTGGAGACACTGGAGGAACCCCCAGACCCCTCCCCAAACCCCACTCTGAAGCCCCCAAACCCCTCCCCAAATCCCCCCAAACCCCTCCCTGACCCCCCCAGACTCCTCTGTGACCCCCCCAAACCCCTCATGTCCCCCCAGACTTGATGGCCTGGGAGCCCCTGGTGCTGGAGACCCTTGAGGAACCTCAGACCCCTCTCCAAACACCCCCAAACCCATCTGTGACCCCCTCATGTCCCCCCCAGACTCGATGGCCTTGGAGCCGCTGGTACTGAAGACCTTTGAGGAACCCCCAGACCCCTCCCCAAACACCCCACTTTGACCACCCAAACCCCTCTGTGGCACCTTCAAACCCCCCCAAACCCCTCCCTGACACCCCCAAACCCCTCTGTGACCCCCCCAAACCCCTCTGTGACCCCCTCATGTCCCCCCCAGACTCGATGGCGTGGGAGCCGCTGGTGCTGGAGACGCTGGAGGACAACGTGCCGCGGGCCCGCGCCGGGCACTGCGCCGTGGCCATCGCCACCCGCCTGTACATCTGGAGCGGCCGCGACGGCTACCGCAAGGCCTGGAACAACCAGGTGTGCTGCAAGGACCTGTGGTACCTGGAGACAGGTGAGTCTGGGGGGGCTGGAACAACCTGGGGGGGCTGCAGGGACCTGTGGTACCTGGTGACAGGTGAGTAACCCAAGTGTGACAAAGGTGTAACCGAGCTACAACCCAGGTTTAGCTTGGGTGTGACACAGATGTAACCGAGGTGTCACCCAGGTGTGATGTGAGTGGTACAGGTGTACCCAGATGTGCCCCAGGTGCGATATGAGTGGTACAGGTGTACCCGCCTGTACCCTGGGTGTACCCCAGGCGTACCCATCTGTACCCCAGGTGTACCCAGGTGTGATATGAGTGGTACAGATGTACCCAGGTGTACCCAGGTATGGTATGAATGATACAGGTGGACCCTGGTGTACCCAGGTATGATATGATGCGTGGTCCAGGTGTACCCAGGTGTACCCAGGTGGGTTATGAGTGGTACAGGTGTATCCAGGCATGCCCCACCTGTACCCAGGTGTACCCCAGATGTGATATGAGTGGTACAGGTGTAGCCAGGTGTACTCCAAGTGAACCAGATGTTATATAGGTATCATCTACCTGTACCCAGGTGTGATATGAGCGGTACAGGTGTACCCCAGGTGTACCCACCTGTACCCCAGGCATACCCCAGGTGTAGCCAGGTGTGATATGAGTGGTACAGGTGTACCCAGGTGTAGCCAGGTGTGATATGAGTGGTACAGAGGTACCCAGGTGTACCCAGGTATGGTATGAATGATACAGGTGTACCCAGGCATGCCCCACCTGTACCCAGGTGTACCCCAGGTGTGATATGAGTGGTACAAGTGTACTCCAGGCGTACCCAGGTGTACCCAGGTGTACCCTGGCATACCCAGGTGTACCCCAGGCGTACCCAGGCGTACCCAGGCGTACCCAGGTGTACCCAGGTGTACCCCAGGTGTACCCAGGTGTACCCCGGCATACCCAGGTGTCCCCTCTCCCCGCAGAGCGCCCGCCGGCGCCGGGCCGCGTGCAGCTGGTGCGCGCCAACACCACGTCGCTGGAGGTGAGCTGGGGCGCGGTGCCCACGGCCGACTCGTACCTGCTGCAGCTGCAGAAGTACGAGCTGCCCGCCGCGCCCGCGCCGCCGCCCGTGCCCTCGGTGCCCGCCAACCCCCCCAAGAGCCCCGCGCCCGCCGCGCCCGCGCCGCCGCCCGCGCCCCCCGCCCTGCCCCAGCTGGGGGGCGTGGGGCTCACCCTGCTGCCCCCGCCCGCCGCGCCCCCCAACCCGCCCGGCGTCGCCGCCGCCGCCGCCGCGGCCGCTGTGGGGACGGCGGGGACGGCGGCGGGGACGGCAGGGACAGGCGGCGGCGGCGGCACCGCCGGGGGGGTGGCGGCGGTGGCGGCGGCCACGGCGGGGACGGCGGGGGCGGTGGCGGCGCCCCCCGGGGCCACCCTGCAGGTGCTGCCCGCGGCCGGGGGGGCAACGGCGGCGGCGGCGAGCGGAGCGGCCACGGCGGGGAGGGCACCTGGTGAGTGACACTGGGGACACTGGGGGGGCACGGAGGGGAGATGGAGACATGGGGGACGTCGGGGAGGGGATGGGGATGCTCGGGACACTGGGGACGTGGTGGGGTGGAATGGGGACATTAAGGACACGGGGGGAGATGAGGAGATTTTGAGGGGGAATGGGGATATTGGGAGATGGGGACATTGAGGGGAGGTGGGGACATGGGGGGGAGATGGGGACATTTGGAACACGGGGACATTGAAGATATGGGGGGAGATGGGGAGATTGTGGCGGGGAATGGGGATGTTGGGGACATGAGGGGGGAAATGGGGACATGGGGGACATTGAGGGGGGAAATGGGGACATTGGGGATATGGGGGCAATGGGGACATTGTAGGGGGGAAATGGGGACATGGGGGGAGATGGGGACACTGTGGGGACATTGAGGGGGGAAATGGGGACATTGAGGACACAAGGGGGAGAGATGGGGACATTTGGAACATGGGGACATTGAAGATATGGGGGGAGATGGGGAGATTGTGGCGGGGAATGGGGACACTGGGGGACCATGGGGGAGGCAGAGATGGGGACGTTGGGAAATGGGGACATTAAGGGGGACATTGCAGTGGACGTGGTGGGGCAGGGATGAGCACACTGGGGACATTGGAAGGGGACATGGAGGGGATATTGGGGACATGGGGGGGACATTGGGATGGCGGGGACACTGAGAGGGACAGGAGGGTGCTGAGGGTGACAAGGGACACAAGGGATGTCCCTGGGTGTCCCTGTCCCCACCCAGATGTCCCGGCATTGCTGAGGGTGACACGGGGGATGTCCCTGTGTGTCCCTGTCCCCACCCTGACCCCCGTGTCCCCTCCCAGGTGTCCCGGCGGTGCTGAAGGTGACCGGTCCCCCTGCGGCCACCGCGGGGCCCCCGTTGGTGACGGTACGCTCGGCCGGGCCCGGCAAGGCCCCGGTGACGGTGACATCGCTGCCCGCCGGCGTCAGGATGGTGGTGCCCACCCAGAGCCCCCAGGGCACGGTGAGAGCGGGCACACCTGGGCACACCTGGGGGGACGGGGTGGGGGGGGACATGGGGAGGGGTCCTGGGGGGGGGGTCAGGGACACGGGGAGGGGACCTGGGGGTGGTTGGGGACTGAGGGAGGGATCCCTGGGGGGATAGTGGGGCCACAGGTGTGACACAGGTGAGCCCCAGGGGGTACCTGGGGACACAGGTGTGACAGAGGGAGTACATGGGTGACACAGGGGGTTCCTGGGTGTCGCGTTGCTGTGCCAGGCGTGCCCCAGGTATACCCAGGTGTGACCAGGTGCCCCTAGATGTGCCTAGGTGTGAGCAGGTGCCCTCCCAGCTGTGCCCAGGTGTGCTTAGCTGTGCCCCCAGGTGTGCTCAGGTGTCCCCAGGTGTGCTCAGGTGCCCCCAGGTGTGTCCCCAACTGTGCTCAGGTGTGTCCCCAGATGTGCTCAGGTGTGTCCCTAGCTGTCCCCAGGTGTTCATAGGTGTGCTCAGGTGTCCCCAGGTGTGTCCCCTCGCAGGTGATTGGCAGCAGCCCCCAGATGAGCGGCATGGCCGCCCTGGCCGCAGCCCTTAGCTGTCCCCAGCTGTCCCTAGCTGTCCCCAGGTGTCCCCAGGTTGTTCAGGTGTGTCCCCAGGTGTGCTCAGGTGTCCCCTGTCCCACAGGTGATCGGCAGCAGCCCCCAGATGAGCGGCATGGCCGCTCTGGCTGCAGCAGCCACAGCCCCCAGGTGTCCCCCTAGCTGTCCCCAGGTGTCCATAGGTGTCCCCAGGTGTGTCCCCAGGTGTGCTCAGGTGTGTCCCCTCACAGGTGATCGGCAGCAGCCCCCAGATGAGCGGCATGGCCGCCCTGGCCGCAGCGGCCGCGGCCACCCAGAAGATCCCCCCGGCCTCGGCGCCCACCGTGCTCAGCGTCCCCGCCGGGGCCACCATCGTCAAGACGGTGGCCGTGACCCCCGGGGCCACCACCCTGCCCGCCACCGTCAAGGTGGCCTCGTCACCCGTCATGGTAGGGGACGCTGCGGGGGCTGGGGTGGCACTGGGGGGTGTCGTTGTCACCGTGGTGTCACCAGGGCTTGGGTGGCACTGGGGTGGTACTGGGTGACTTGAGGTGACGCCGTGGTGTCACCAGCAGCCTTGTGGGTGTCCCCACGCTGTCCCCACAACATCCCCCATCATGTCCATCTCCCCACTGTGTCCCCACCATGTCCCCATGCTGTCCCCAACATGTCCCCTTGATCTCCACATGTGTCCCCACACTGTCTCCTCCGTATCCCCACCATGTCTCCACCCTGTCCCCTCAATGTCCCCACGCTGTCCCCACCATGTCCCCACCATGTCCCTACTCTGTCCTTTCCATCTCCCTAAAATGTCCCACAATATCCCCACAATGTCCCCATCGTATCCCCATGCTGTCCCCTCAATCTCCCCACATGTCCCCACCGTGTCCCCACACTGTGCCCTCAATGTCCCCACCATGTCCCCCTGTGTCCCTGCCGTGTCCCCGCCGTGTCCTCCACCATGACCCCTCAATGTCCCCTCAATCTCCCCACCATGTCCCCTCAATGTCCCACCATGTCCCCACCATGTCCCCCTGTGTCCGTGCCGTGTCCCCGCCGTGTCCTCCACCATGTCCCCTCAATCTCCCCACAATGTCCTCCACCATGTCCCCTCATGTCCCCTCAATGTCCCCCCATGTCCCCACCATGTCCCCTCAATGTCCCACCATGTCCCCACCGTGTTCCCTCAATCTCCCCTCAATCTCCCCACCATGTCCCCCTGTGTCCCCACACTGTCCCCGCCCTGTCCCCACCATGTCCCCTCAATCTCCCCACAATGTCCTCCACCATGTCCCCTCAATGTCCCCCCACGTTCCCACGCTGTCCCTGTGCTGTCCCCACATGTCCCCATCGTGTCCCCAACGCTGTCCCCACGTGTCCCCCCAGGTGAGCAACCCCGCCACGCGCATGCTGAAGACGGCGGCGGCCCAGGTGGGCACGGCGGGGGCGTCACCCGCGGCCACCAACGCGGCCACCCGGCCCATCATCACCGTGCACAAGTCGGGGACGGTGACGGTGGCCCAGCAGGCCCAGGTGGTCACCACCGTGGTCGGAGGGGTCACCAAGACCATCACGCTGGTCAAGAGCCCCATCTCCGTGCCGGGGGGCAGCGCCCTGGTGAGGGGGGACGTGTTTGGGGACATTCAGGGGGTGGGACACGGGTTTGGGGACATTTGTGGGGTGGGACATGGATCTGGGGACATTGGGAGTGTGGGGACACGAGTTTGGGGATGTTGGGGGGGACATTGGTGGGGGGCGCAGGTTTAGGGACATGGGTTTGGGGAGAGGGGGACATTGAGGAGGGGACATGGGTTTGGGAACGGGGGGGAAATGGGTTTGGGGACATTGGGGAGGGGACGGGGGGGACACTGAGGGGGAACATGGGTTTGGGGACAGGGGAGATAGTGGGTGGAGGGGGACATGGCTTTGGGGACAGGGACATTTTGGGGGGTGGGAACATGGGTTTGGGGACATTGGGAGTGTGGGGACACGGATTTGGGGATATTGGCGGGGACACAAGTTTGGGGACATTAGGGGGGACAGGGGTTTGGGGACAGGGAGGACACTGGGGAGGGGACACAGGTTTGGGGACACGGGACATTGGGGGGGGTGGGGACATGAATTTGGGGGGGTTTGGGGTGATGGACCCCTGGATTTGGGGACAGAAGGGGACGTTGGTGGGGTGGGGACACAGATTTGGGGGTCTTGGGGAGGGGGATATGGGGAGGGCACAGATTTGGGGGGGGGATATGGGGGGGACACAGATTTGGGGGGGGGGGGTCTCTGACCCCTCTTGAACCCCCCAGATCTCCAACCTGGGCAAGGTGATGTCGGTGGTGCAGACGAAACCTGTGCAGAGCTCGGCTGTCACCGGGCAGGCCTCGAGCGGCCCCGTCACCCAGATCATACAGGTGACACCCCAGAATCCCCCAAAACTGCCCCCAAAATTACCCCCAAAGCCCTGAGACCCCCCCCCAAAATCCCCCCTCACTATCACCAGGCAGGCCTGGAGCGGCCCCGTCACCAGATCGTACAGGTGACACCCCAAAATCCCCCAAAACTGCCCCCAAATTATCCCCAAAGCTCTGAGATCCCCCAAAAACCCCCTCAGCTGTCACCGGGCAGGCCTGGAGCGGCCCCGTCACCCAGATCATACAGGTGACACCCCAGAATCCCCCAAAATTACCCCAAAACTGCCCCCAAAATTACTCCAAAATCACCCCGAAAATACCCCAAAATTACCCCAAATCACTGAAACCCCTCAAGCCTCTGAGTCCCTGCCCAAAATTCACTGACCACTCCCCCCTGAGTGACCACTCCCCTGTCTGACCACTCCCCTGAGTGACCACCCCCTCAAGTGACCCCACCCTGATTGACCACTCCCCAAGTGACCACTCCCCTGAATGACTGCCTCCCCTCCCTGCCTGACCACTCTCCGAGTGACCACTTCCCTGTCCGACCACTCCTCTGAGTGACCCCCCAGCCCCGAGTGACCACTCCCCGAGTGACCGTCCCCCCAAGTAACCACCTTCCCGAGTGACCACTCCCCGAGTGACCGTCCCACTGAGTGACCCCCTCCCAAGTGACCACCCCCCTGAATGACCACCCCCTGAGTGACCACTCCTGTGTGACCACTGTCTCCTGCATTGACCACTCCCCTGAGTGACCCCTCCTCTCACTGACCATTCCCTGAGTGACCCCCACAGCCCCGAGTGACCACTCCCCTGAATGACCACTCCCCAAATGACCACTACCCTGACTGACCACTCCCTCAGTGACCACCCCACTGAGTGACCTCCCTGACTGACCACTCCTCTGAGTGACCCCCTCCCAAGTGACCACTCCTCTGAGTGACCACTCCCCTGAATGACCACTCCCCAAGTGACCACTCCCCTGACTGACCACTCCCTGAGTGACCCCCCCCCAAGTGACCACTCCCCTGACTGACCACTCCCCTGAATGACCACTCCACAAATTACCACTCCCCCTCAAGTGACCACTCCCCAAGTGACCATCGCACTGAGTGACCCCCTCACCCTGAGTGACCCCCACCCTGAATGACCCCCTCCCAACTGACCACTCCTCAAGTGACCACTCCCCTGACTGACCACTCCCTGAGTGACCCCCTCCCAAGTGACCACTCCCCTGAATGACCACTCCACAAATTACCACCCCCCCTCAAGTGACCACTCCCCTGACTGACCACTCCCTGAGTGACCCCCTCCCAAGTGACCACTCCTCCGAGTGACCACTCCCCTGAATGACCACTCCCCAAGTGACCACTCCCCAAGTGACCATCCCACTGAGTGACCCCCTCCCAAGTGACCACTCCTCCGAGTGACCACTCCCCTGAATGACCACTCCCCAAGTGACCACTCCCCTGACTGACCACTCCCTGAGTGACCCCCTCCCAAGTGACCACTCCCCAAGTGACCATCCCACTGAGTGACCCCCCACCCTGAGTGACCCCCACCCTGAGTGACCACTCCCTGAGTGACCACCCCCCTGAATGACTTCCTACCCTGAGTGACCCCCTCCTTGAGTGGCCACTCCCCAAATGACCACTCCCCTGAGTGACCCCTCCCCAAATGACCACTCCCCTCGCTGTCCCCCTCCCCAGACCAAGGGCCCCCTGCCCGCGGGGACCATCCTGAAGCTGGTGACGTCGGGGGAGGGGAAGCCCACCACCATCCTGACCAGCACGCAGGCGGGGGCGGGGGCGGCCAAGCCCCCCACCATCCTGGGCATCAGCAGCGTGTCCCCCAGCACCACCAAGCCCGGCACCACCACCATCATCAAAACCATCCCCATGTCGGCCATCATCACCCAGTCGGGGGCTACCGGTGAGTGAGACCCCTCCCCAAATTAACTGAACCCGTCCTGAGACCCCCAAACCATCCCCGAGACCCCCGAACCATCCCTGACCTCCCTGAGACCCCCAAACCACCCCTGACCTCCCTGAGACCCCTAAACCTCCCTGAGACCCCATCCTTGGTATCACCCCCATCATCAAAACCATCCCCATGTCGGCCATCATCACCCATCTGGGGGCTACTGGTGAGTGAGACCCCTCCCCAAATTACCCTGAGATCCCTGAACCATCCCTGAGACCCCCCAAACTCCCCCATCCCCTCAATCCGCCATCGCCACCCAGTCAGGGGCCACCAGTGAGTGACAGGGGGTGACCCCCGTGTCCCCCTGACCCATGTCCTGCCCTGTCCCCCCTGTGTGTGTCCCTGTCCCCCTGCTGACCCTCTTGTGACCCCCCCATGTCCCCCCTGACCTATGTCCCTGTCCCCCCATGCCCCTGTGACCCTGCTGACCCCCTTGTGTCCCTCTGTGACCTCCCCCATGTCCCTGTCCCTCTGCTGACCCCCTCCATGTCCCCGTGACCCTGCTGACCCCTCCATGTCCCCGTGACCCTGCTGACCCCTCCATGTCCCCCCGTGACCCCCTGTGTCCCTGTCCCCCTGTGACCCCCCCCATGACCCTGCTGACCCCTCCATGTCCCCCCATGACCCCCCATGTCCCTGTCCCTCTGTGATCCCCCCTGTCACCCCCCATGTCCCCCCATGACCCCGCTGACCCCCCGGTGTCCCCAGGTGTCACCAGCAGCCCCGGGATCAAGTCGCCCATCACCATCATCACCACCAAGGTGATGACCTCGGGCACCGGCACCCCCGCCAAGATCATCACGGCTGTCCCCAAGCTGGGCGGGGGACACGGCCAGCAGGGCGTGACACAGGTGAGGCCGCACCTGGGGACACCTGAACCACCCTGGGGACACCTGGGGACAGCTGAACCACCCTGGGACACCTGAACAGGCACCTGGGGATACCTGGGGACACTTGAACAGGCACCTGGGGACACCTGAACAGGCACCTGGGGGCACCTGAACTACTCTGGGGACACCTGAACTACCCTGGGGACACCTGAATGGGCACCTGGGGACACCTGAGCCACCCTGGGGACACCTGGGAACACCTGAGACTGGGAGAGTTCAAGGACAATGGAGGGGACAGGGGAGGGGTCACATGGGGAGGGTTTGGGGACACCGGGATGGGGTCACCTGAGGGTTTGGGGACATTGATGACAGTGGCAAGGGGGGTTTGGTGACATTGGGGACGCCAATGTGGTCACCTCAGGGATTGGGGACATCAGTGACCGTGTCAAGGGGGGTTTGGGGACATTGATGATAATGTCAAGGGGGGTTTGGTGACAATGGCAGGCTGTCCCCAAGGGGTCCCGGCCCCGAGGGCCCCCAGGTGACAGCGGTGTCCCCATTGTCCCCGTGTCCCCAGGTGGTGCTGAAGGGAGCCCCGGGCCAGCCGGGGACCATCCTGAGGACGGTGCCCATGGGGGGCGTCCGGCTGGTCACCCCCGTCACCGTCTCGGCCGTCAAGCCCACAGTGACCACGCTGGTGGTCAAGGGCACCACCGGTGAGTGGGGTCAGTGGGTCATCTACGGGTCACCTCTGGGTCACTGGGGTGGTCACTTGTGGTCACGGGTCACCTCTGGGTCACTGGGGTGACCATTCTGGTGGTCAAGGGCACCACCGGTGAGTTGGGGGTCACTCTGGGGGTCATTGGGTCATCTGTGGGTCACTGGGATGGTCAGTTGTGGTCAAGGGTCACCTCTGGGTCACTGGGGTGACCAGTCTGGTGGTCAGTGGCACCACCGGTCACTGGAGATGTCATTGGGCCATCCAGGAGTCACTGGGGTGACCATTCTGGTGGTCAAGAGTCAGCTCTGGGTCACTGGGGTGACCACTAAGGTCAGGGGTCACCTCTGGGTCACTGGGGTGACCAGTCTGGTGGTCCAGGGCACCACTGGTCACTGGAGGGGTCATTGGGGGGGTCATTGGTCCATCCAGGGGTCACTGGGGTGGTCACTTGTGGTCAAGGACACCACTGGTAGGGGTGGGGGGTTACCAGGGGGTCATTGGGTCACTGAGAGGTCGCTGGAGGGGTCACCATGGGGACACTGAGGTGACCCAGTGACCCCCAGAGTGACCCCCACTCATTGAAGGGGTCATGGGGACAGTGGGGGGACACCAGGAGGTCACTTGGGGGGCGGGGGTCACTGTCTTGGGGAAGGGTCACCATGGGGTCACTGTGTCACCACGGGGTCACTTTGGGGTCACTTTCCTGACCGGTCACTCACGGCCCTCGTGTCCCCTGCAGGTGTGACCACGCTGGGGACGGTGACAGGGACAGTGTCCACCAGCCTGGCCGGAGGGGCAGGTGGCCACAGCGCCACGGCCTCGCTGGCCACCCCCATCACCACGCTGGGGACAATCGCCACCCTGTCCAGCCAGGTGCTGAACCCTGCGGCCATCACGGCCACCGCGGCCGGGGGCGGCCTGGGGACACCGACCATCACCATGCAGGTGAGGGGACACTGGGGACATTGGGGACACCGACCATCACCATGCAGGTGAGGGGACACTGGGGACATTGGGGACACCGACCATCACCATGCAGGTGAGGGGACACTGGGGACATTGGGGACACCGACCATCACCATGCAGGTGAGGGGACACTGGGGACATTGGGGACACTGACCATCACCATGCAGGTGAGGGGACACTGGGGACATTGGGGACACTGACCATCAACCATGCAGGTGAGGGGACACTAGGGGGACACTGGACCTGGGGACACCAACCATCACCATGCATGTGGGGGGACACTGGGGACACTGAGCATCACCATGCAGGTGAGGGGACATTTGGGACAGGGGGGATACTGGGGACACCGACCATCACCATGCAGGTGAGGGGACACTGGGGACATTGGGGACACCGACCATCACCATGCAGGTGAGGGAACATTAGGGACAGGGGGGACACTGGGGACATTTAGGACACTGGGGACACTGACCAGTACCACGCATGTGAGGGGACAGTGGGGACATTGGTGACACTGGGGACATCTGAGGTGTCCCCAAATGCCGCTCAGCCCCAGCTGTGCTGACAGGAGTAGGGAGGGGACACTGTGGAATTTGGGGTGACACAAGGTCGGGGGGGTCACAGAGCTTTGAGGCTGGGGACAGGGGGCGGTGCCTGTGCTCAGTGCCACCTGCCCTGACCCCCCCCCGTGGGGACACAGCCGGTGTCCCAGCCCACGCAGGTGACGCTCATCACCACGCCCAGCGGCGTCGAGGCCCAGCCCGTCCACGACCTCCCCGTGTCCATCCTGGCGTCCCCGACGGCCGAAGGTCCCCCCGCGGCCACCTCGGGGGGCGGCAGCCTGGCCGAGCCCCCCCCGGCCGAGGCCGCCCCGGGCACCGTCACCCTGGTGTGCTCCAACCCGCCCTGCGAGACCCACGAGACGGGGACGACCAACACGGCCACCACCAGCCTGGTGGCCAACGTGGGCACGGGGACGGGGGCGCAGCTGCAGCTGCAGCTCTGCGAGGACGCGGGCGGGGGGACGGCGGTGGTGGCAGCGCCGCCCCGGGCCTGCTCCAACCCCCCCTGCGAGACCCACGAGACCGGGACCACCAACACCCCCACGGCGGCGGGGACGGCGCGCTTGGGGACGCCGGGGGCGCCGCCCTGCCCCACGCAGCAGACGGTGGCCACGGGGACGACGATGACGGCGCGGTTGTGTCCCCCCGATGGTGGCGGCGGCGGTGGTGGTGGTGGTGGCAGCGGTGTCACCTCGTGCCAAACGCAGGAGGCCGCCCCGTGCCAAACGCCCTGGGGACAGCCTGAGGTGGGGACGGTCACTGCGGCCACCACGGCGAGCTGTGAGAGCCCCGCGGGGACACGGCTGTGTGCCAACCCGCCCTGCGAGACCCACGAGACGGGGACAACCAACACGGTGACGGTGACAGGGACACGGCTGTGCTCCAACCCTCCTTGTGAGACCCACGAGACGGGGACAACCAACACGGTGACAGTGACAGGGTCACAGCTCTGCTCCAACCCGCCCTGTGAGACCCATGAAACAGGGACAACCAACACGGTGACAGTGACAGGGACACGGCTGTGCTCCAACCCTCCTTGTGAAACCCACGAGACGGGGACAACCAACACGGTGACAACCACGGGGACACGGCTCTGCTCCAACCCGCCCTGTGAGACCCATGAAACTGGGACAACCAACACGGTGACAACGACAGGGACACGGCTGTGCTCCAACCCTCCTTGTGAAACCCACGAGACGGGTACAACCAACACGGTGACAGTGACAGGGTCACAGCTCTGCTCCAACCCGCCCTGTGAAACCCACGAGACGGGGACAACCAACACGGTGACAACGACAGGGACACGGTTCTGCTCCAACCCGCCCTGTGAGACCCACGAGACGGGGACAACCAGCACGGCCACCACCACCACGGCCACCTCGCGCCCCCCGCCCGAGTCGGGGACAGCAGCGGTGCCACCGCCTCGAGGTGTCCCCCCCTGCTCCAACCCCCCCTGCGAGACCCACGAGACGGGGACGACCAACACGGTGACAACGACATCGTCGCAGCTCTGCTCCAACCCTCCCTGTGAAACCCACGAGACCGGGACCACCAACACGGCCACCACGGCCACCGCGGGCTCCCGGCCGGGTGACACCACCACGGCCACCAGCGCTGCCACCACGGCCACCACCTCCAGCACGGGGGGGTCCCCGCCTTGTGCCAACCCCCCCTGCGAGACCCCCGAGAGCGGGACCACCAGCACGGCCACCACCAGAGCGGGCTCCTCGCCCTGCCAGAGCCACCAGAGCGGTGCCACCGGCACGGCCGCCACCGAGGGGGTGACACCGCCCCCGCCCTGTGCCACCACCGCTGCCACCAGCCCCCCCCGCGCCTGCTCCAACCCCCCCTGCGAGACCCACGAGACGGGGACAACGGCCACGGCCACCACGGTCACCGCCAGCATGGGCGCCAGCCAAGGTGACCCCTGAATTGTCCCCAGATTGTCCCCAAATCGTCCTTGCTTTGGGGTGGTGCCTCGCTGACCCCTCCCCGTTGTCCCCACAGAGCCCCCCCCGCCGGCTGCCAACGGGCAGGGGGAGGGGGAGACCCCCCCCAGCGAGGCCGGGGGTCCCCCCGTGCCCCCCCCCGGGACCCCCAGCCCCGGCCCCAGCGGCGGCACCGGGACCCCCCAGCCCCGGGCGGTCACCACGGTCACTCAGTCCACGCCAGCGCCGGGGCCGGCCGTGCCGGTGAGCAGGGCTGGGGACACTGGGGACAGGGTTGGGGACACTGGGGAGGGGGGTGGGGACAGGGGGGAGGGGGTTTGGGGACAGTGGGAGACGGTTTGGGGACATTAAAAGGGGATTTGGAGACATTAGAAATGGGTTTGGGGACATTAAAAGGGGATTAGGGGACACTGGGAGGGGATTTGGGGACACTGGGAGGAGGTCTGGGGGCATTAAAATGGGATTTGGGGATATTGGGGAGGGTTGGGGATATTAAAAAGGGGGTTTAGGGGCACTGGGGAGGGGTTTGGGGACATTGGGGGAGGATTTGGGGACATTGGGAGCGGGTTTGGGGACAATGAGGGGGGGTTGAGGGCATTGGAAGGGGTTTGGGGGCAGTGGGAGGTGGTTTGGGACACTGGGGAGGGGGTTTGGGGACAGTGAAGAGGGATTTTGGGACACTGGGAGGGGCTTTGGGGACATTAAAAGGGGATTTGGGGACACTGGAGCTCACTGGGACCATGGTTGGGGAGGTTTTGGGGACACTGGGAGGGGGTTTGGGGACACTGTGGGGAGATCTGAGGACACTGGGAGGAGCTCTGGTGACACCAAGGGTGCCCTAAGCACCGTGGCACTGCCACCCGGGACTTCCTGGTGCCTCTGGAGGCCCCCAAGTCCCCATTTCGGGGTGGTGGGGTGGGGTCTCTTCATCTCTCCCCCCCCAACCCCATTTCCTCTCCCCTTTCCCCCCCCCCCCAGACCATCTCGTCGCTGACCGAATCCCCCCCGGCACCCCCCGAGACCCCCCCAAGCACCACCACCACCACCACCACGCCCACCCCTCCTGGAGACCCCCACCCATCCCAGGACCCCTCCTCAGCCTCGGCCACGTCCCCGTCGCCCCCCGGGCCCGAGGCCGCGCCCCCTGCCCAGGCCGGGTCGGAGCCCGGGGGCTCCCCGGAGCCGCTGGCCGTGGTGGTGCTGCCCCCGAGCGCGGCCGAGGGCGGCCCGGCCGAGGGGCTGGCGCTGCCCCCCGAGCTGCTGGCCGAGGCGGGGGGCGCGGGGGGACCCCCGGGGCTGACCCCCGAGGAGCTGGCGGTCACCGCGGCGGCCGAGGCGGCGGCGGCGGCTGCGGCCAGCGAGGAGGCGCAGGCGCAGGCCCTGGCCATCCAGGCCGTGCTGCAGGCGGCGCAGCAGGCCGTCATGGGTCAGTCTGGGGGGGTCCTGAGGGGTTTGGGGGGTTCTGAGAGGGGTTTGGGGTGTCCTGGGGTGGTCTCATGGTCATGCTGGTGACCCCAGGCCGAGGCCCTGGCCATCCAGGCCGTGCTGCAGGCGGCGCAGCAGGCCGTCATGGGTCAGTTTGGGGGGGTTTTGGGGCAGTTTGGGGGGTCCTGAGAGGGTTTGGGTGGCATTTAGGGGGTCCTGAGGGGTTTTGGGGGTGATGGGATAGTCCCATGGTCATGGCAGTTCCATGGTGGTGACCCCAGGCCCAGGCCCTGGCCATCCAGGCCGTGCTGCAGGCGGCGCAGCAGGCCGTCATGGGTCAGTTTGGGGGGGCTTTGGGGGGTCCTGGGGGGGTTTGGGGGCAGTCACTGGGGTCTCAGTCCCATGGTGGGTGGTCCCATGGTTATGGGGGTGGCACAGTGGGGACCAGGGTGACCCCATGGAGTGCATTTTGGGATGATGGCATGGATTTTCAGGTGACCCCAATGAGCCCACAGGGTGGATTTTGGGGACCCTCATGGCGTCGATTTTGGGCTGACCTCAGTGACCCCATGGTGGGGGGGGTGGATTTTGGGGTGACCCCAATGGCCCCACAAAGTAGATTTTAGGCTGACCCAAATAACCCCACAGGGTGGATTTTGGGGTGACCCCACAGTGGAGGAGTTGAATTTTAGGATGAGGCCATAGGATGAATTTTGGGATGACCACAATGACCCCACGGAGTAGATTTTGGGCTGACCCCAATGACCCCATGGGATGGATTTTGCGCTGGCCCCACAGTGGAGGAGTTGAATTATAGGATGACCCCAATGACCCCATGGGGTGAATTTTGGGGTGACCCCAATGACCCCATGGGGTGGATTTTGGAATGACCCCAGTGACCCCATGGGGTGGATTTTGGACTGACCCCAATGACCCCATGGGGTGGATTTTGGGCTGACCCCACAGTGGAGGAGTTGAATTTTAGGATGACCCCAATGACTCCATGGTGGGGGGCTGAATTTTGAGGTGACCCCAATGACCCCACAGGCAGGTTGGGGCTGGATTTTAGGATGACCCCATGGGGTGGGTTTTGGGATGACCCCAATGACCCCACAGGCAGGTTGGGGCTGGATTTTAGGATGACCCCATGGGGTGGGTTTTGGGATGACCCCAATGACCCCACAGGCAGGTTGGGGCTGGATTTTAGGATGACCCCATGGGGTGGGTTTTGGGATGACCCCACAGGGTACATTTTGCGATGACCCCAGTGACCCCACACCTGACCTGTCCCCGCTGTCTGTCCCCTCCCCACAGGCACATCGGAGCCGCTGGAGCCCGGCGAGCCCGGGGGGGGCCCCTCGGAGCTGGGGGGCGCCCTGGGGGTCTCGGAGGCCGCGGGGGGCGCGGGGGGGGCGCTGCCCCTGGTGCTGACCCAGCAGGACCTGGCGGCGCTGGTGCAGCACCAGCAGCACCTGGCCGAGGCCGGGACCCCCCCCGCGGCCCCCCCCGCGCCCCCCGCCCCCGCCCCGCCCCCTCCCGCCCCCGCCGCGCCCCCCCAGGCGGCCGCGCCCCCTCCCCATTTGCCCACCGAGGCCTTGGCCCCCGCCGACAGCCTCAACGACCCCGCGGGCGACGCCAACGGCCTGGGGGAGCTGGGCACGGTGCCCGGGGGGGGCGCCCCCGCCGCCCTGCTGCCCCCCCCCGGCGACGGTGAGACACCTGGGGGGGGGATCTGGGGGTGGGACCCCCACTCATGGCAAGGGGGGAATGGGAAATGGGGACCTTTGGGGGTGTGGGGGGGGGTGTGGGGGGAAGGCGTCCTTTGGGGGTGTGAGACCCCTGCCCACGGCAATTTTGGGGGGAATGGGGTCCTTTGGTGGTGGGGGACCCTCGCCCATGGCAATGGTGGTGGGGGGAAATGGGGTCCTTTGGGGGTCCTTTAAGGGGGGTTTGTGGGGTGGGGAGGGGTCTGGGATCCGTGGGGGAGCACCCATTTTTGGGGGGGGGGGTCCTTTTAGGGGATGTTTATGGGGTGGAGGGGGTCCCGGGGGGGGCCCATGGAGGGCTTTGGGACCCTTTTGGGGAGGGGGTCTTTTGGGTGTGTTTAGGGGGTGGGGAGGGGTCTGGGACCCATGGAGGGGGGGCAGCCACAGAAAGGGGGGAGACCCAGAAAGGGTGGGGGGACACCCATGGAGGGGTTTGGGACCCCTTAGAAGGGCACCCATGGCAAGGGGGGGGGCACCCCTAGGGTTGGTTTGTGACCCCACTGCTGACATTGGGGTGGGTGAGGAATGCAGTGGGGATTTTTTTAAGCCCTCTCCCCAATTTTTTGTGGCCCCCCCCCCAGGCCTGGCCCCCTCGAGCGCCTTCGTGGCCCCCCCAGGCCCCACGGTTGCCCCCAGCCCCGCCAAGCTGCAGGCGGCCGCCGCCCTGGCCGAGGTGGCCAACGGCATCGAGAGCACCCCCGTGGTGAGTGAGGGGGGAAATTCACCTGGAAATCACCCCAAAATCATCACAATCCCACCCAAAAATCACCCCCAAAATCATCACAAACCCACCTCAAAATCCAACCCAAAATTATCATAAACCCACCCGAAAATCACCCCCAAAATCCTCATAAACCCACACAAAAATCTCTCCCAAAATCCTCACAAATCCAGCAAAAAATCCTCACAAATCCTCCCAAAAATCCCCCCAAAATCCTCACAAACCCACCCAAAAATCCCCCCCAAAATCCTCATAAACCCACCCGAAAATCACCCCCAAAATCCTCATAAACCCACACAAAAATCCCCCCAAAATCCTCACAAACCCACCCAAAAATTCCCCAAAAACCCTCACAAACACACCCAAAAATCACCCCTAAAATCATCACAAATCCACCTCAAAATCCAACCCAAAATCCTCACAAACCCACCCAAAAATCACCCCCAAAATCATCACAAACCCACCCAAAAATCCCCCCCAGAATCCTCACAAACCCACACAAAAATCTCTCCCAAAATCCTCACAAATCCACCAAAAAATCCCCCCCAAAAATCCTCATAAACCCACCCAAAAATCACCCCCAAAATCCTCATAAATCCGCCCAAAAGTCCCCCCTGAAATCCTCACAAACCCACCCAAAAATCACCCCCAAAATCCTCACAAACCCACCCAAAAATTCCCCAGAAATCCTCATAGATCCCCCCTAAATCCAACCAGGAATTTCCCTAAAATCTCCCTCAAAATTCTTCCAATTTACCCCCAAATTTTCCCCCATAAAATCCCCCAATTTCCCCCATAAAATCCCCAATTTCCCCCTAAAACTCCCCAAACCCTCTCCCTGCCAGAAGCCGGAGCCAGGGGCGCCGCCCAAGGCGCTGCCCAAGAAGGAGAACCAGTGGTTCGACGTGGGCGTCATCAAGGGCACCACCATGATGGTCACCCACTACTTCCTGCCCCCCGACGACGCGCCCCCGGCCGATGTGAGTGACCCCGGGCATGGGGACAGACGTGGGGACGCGGGGACAGACACGGGGACAGCCAGGGACAGCCCTGGGGACACAGAGACAGACATGGGCACAGACGTGGGGGTCATCAAGGGCGCCACCATGATGGTCACCCACTACTTCCTGCCCCCCAGTGACGCTCCCCCGACTGACGTGAGTGACGTGGGACAGGCATGGGGACATGGGGGACAGACACAGGGACAGCCCTGGGATGGCCAGGGACAGACATGGGGGCAGCCCCTGAGGATATCCAGGGGACACAGGGACGGCTCTGGGAGAGGCTCTTGGCATTGGGGACATCCCTGGGACAGCCCTGGGGACAGCTCTGGGACACCAGGGACAGCTCTGGGGACAGCCCTGGGGACATGGAGACAGCCTTGGGGACAGGATCATGGCATTGGGGACACCCATGGGGGACAGCCCTGAGGACACTGGGGACAGCTCTGGGGACATCCAGGGCCAGCTCTGGGACAGGCTCATGGCTTTGAGGACGTGCCCTGGGACAGCTCTGGGACACCCATGGGGGACAACCCTGGGTTCTCTGTCCTCGCCGTGTCCCCACCGTGTCCCCCTGTCCCCTAGGACGACGCCTCGGGGGTCCCGGACCACTCGCAGCTGTGGTGCCATGGGCTGTCCCCAATGTCTGGGGGGTTTCTCTGTCCATGTCCCTGGCTCTGGGAGTGTTCCTGTCCCCATGTCCCCACCGTGTCCCCCTGTCCCCACAGGACGACGCCTCGGGGTCCCGGACCACTCGCAGCTGCGCCGCCAGGAGCTGCAGCCGGGCACGGCGTACAAGTTCCGCGTGGCCGGGCTCAACGCCTGCGGCCGCGGGCCCTTCTCGGAGCTGTCGGCCTTCAAAACCTGCCTGCCCGGCTTCCCCGGGGCGCCCTGCGCCATCAAGATCAGCAAGGTGACCCTGGCAGAGACCCCAGACCCAAAACAGGGACCCCAGACCCATAACGGGGACCCCAACCCATGGGGGAGCCCATGACATCAACCCCAACCCAAACCCAACCTGACCTGATCCAATCTGACCTGACCCAACCCAACCCCATCCCTGCCCGGCTTCCCTGGGGCGCCCTGCGCCATCAAGATCAGCAAGGTGACCCTGGCAGAGACCCCAGACCCAAAACAGGGACCCCAGACCCATAACGGGGACCCCAACCCATGGGGAGCCCATAACATCAACCCCAACCCAAACCCAACCTGACCTGATCCAATCTGACCTGACCCAACCCAACCCCATCCCTGCCCAGCTTCCCAGGGGCGCCCTGCGCCATCAGGATCAGCAGGGTGACCCCAGACCCATAACAGGGACCCTGGACCCACAGCAGGGACCCTCCTGTGTCCCCCCATGTCCCCCACCTCTCATAGCCCCCCGTACCCCCCATGTCCCCCACACCTAACCCGTTGTCCCCTCTGTGTCCCCCTTGACCCCCATGTTCCCCACACCTGTGTCCCCTCATGTTCCCTGTGTCCCCCTCTGTCTCCCATGTCCCCCACACCTGAACCCGTGTCCCCTGTGTCCTCCCTGGCCCCTCCGTGTCTCTCATGTCCCCCACGCCTGACCCAGTGTCCCCCTGCGTCCCCTTTGTCCCTTTGTCCCTCTGTCCCCCATGTCCCCCACACCTGACTCCATGTCCCCTGTGTCCTCCCTGACCCCTCTGTGTCCCTGTGTCCCCCACACCTGACCCTGTGTCCCCCTTGACCCCCATGTCCCCCACACCTGACCCTGTGTCCCCCTCTGTCCCTCCATGTCCCTGTGTCCCCCACACCTGTCCCTGTGTCCCCCATGTCCCTCTGTCCCCCCATATTGCCCACACCTAACCCCATGTCCCTCTGTCCCCCCCATGTCCCTCTGTCCCCCCTTGCCCCCATGTCACTCTGTCCCCCATGCCCCCCTGATCCCCCCATGTCCCCATGTCCCTCTGTCCCCCATGCCCCCCTGATCCCCCCGTGTCCCTCTGTCCCCCATGCCCCCCACACCTGACCCGTTGTCCCCCCCCTGTGTCCCCAGAGCCCCGACGGGGCGCACCTGACGTGGGAGCCGCCGTCGGTGACGTCGGGGCGCATCGCCGAGTACTCGGTGTACCTGGCCATCCAGGGGGGGCCCGGGGGGGGCCCCGAGGCGCGCGGGGGGGGGCGCCCAGCTGGCCTTCATGAGGGTCTACTGCGGGCCCAGCCCCTCGTGCCTGGTGCCGGCCTCCAGCCTGGCCAGCGCCCACATCGACCACACCACCAAGCCGGCCATCATCTTCCGCATCGCCGCCCGCAACGACAAGGGCTACGGGCCCGCCACCCAGGTGCGGTGGCTGCAAGGTGGGTCTGGGGGCTCTGAAATGAGTCTGGGGGCTGCGCACCCCCTGGGGGAGGCTGTGGGAGCAGGATTGTCCCCCTGCAGTGACAAGGGCTAACGGCCCTGCCACCCAGGTGCGGTGGCTGCAAGGTGGGTCTGGGGGCTCTGAAATGAGTCTGGGGGCTGCACACACATGGGGGTCCCTGTGGGAGTGAGTATGGACAGTGCCAGGGGTGCTGTGAGGGTCTGTGACCATGAGGGCTACGGCCGTGCCACCCAGGTGCGGTGGCTGCAAGGTGGGTCTGGGGCTCTGCTGTGAGTGTGAAATGGGTCTGGGGGCTGCACACCCCTGGGGGTCCCTGTGAGGCTGGGCAGGTGGGTGTGGGACTGTGCCCCACCCTGCCAAGGACAAGGGCTACGGCCCCACCACCCAGGTGCGGTGGCTGCAAGGTGGCTCTGGAGGCTCTGAAATGGGTCTGGGGGCTCTGAAATGGG